GCCAGGCGGTGCGGGTCGCGTACGACATGTACCATGCGGCGCCGGTCGCCAGCACGTCCCGGTCGGGTCCCTCACGGCCGGCGGCCTGGCGGCCGGCGGCCTGGCGGCCGGCCCAGCTGCAGCACCTCGGCACCGATGAGCACGATGCATTTTGCATCGGGCTGCCCACCCACCCACCCGGCTCGCACGCCCGACTGGAGCGGAGAGCAATGCTAGAGAAAACTCTTCATACTCTCCGCATCATGTTGGAAATAAAGAGATAGGCGGCCCTCGCGGAAAGAGGCGAATATATTATCCGTTTTATTTCGTTATCGACGCTTGTTGCGGTCATGTTTTGCTTTGCCGTGGACCCCGGTCGGTCGGTTACTCTATACATTTCGCTGGATGCGCGCGGCGTGCGCGGCCGCTGTATGGGTATTGGGCTTCTAATCTTATCCGCTCCGCCAGACGATATACGTTCACCTGCCCGCGGCGCGTCCGCCCCGCCCCGCCCCGCCCCGCCCCGCCACACCACACCACGACAGTCCCCGTCTCAGCCCCGCTCTCTTGCGAGCCACCGTGTCCGGCTATGGCGACCCGTCGTCGTGGTGGCGCTCCTGGGCCGCTGGTGTCGGCCTGCTGCTCTGTGATGGAAGTCCACGCGATCCAAAGCAGCCGAGTTTATACATTATTGACGGAGAAAAAGGGGGAGGGAGGAAGGAGAGAATATGTATTTCTGATGGCGATCCTCCTCCCCCCCCCCCCCTCTACTCCCCGAAAGAAAACCACTATCGTGACGGCCACACTTCCGAACGGAAAGGAAAGAGACGGCCTCTACGATAAGCAAGGAGTGGCCAACCACCACCCCCTCCCCCTCAACAAATAGCTCTCAGCCGACGAGGGGGCTCCGAATCGCACGGCAGACATCTGCTGCTTGCTTTTGCTTGCACGTCTCGCGCCGCGGGGCGTTTGCCTCCTCTCTTTTTATTTTATTACTTTCCGATTTTCTTCTTTGATCGCGCAATAGATTCGAGTGTGGTGTTCGTTTGGAAGACTCGCCTGCCGCCATAAATTGTGATTGCCTTTGGGGGTTGGGGAATTTTTCGTACGGATTTGTCTGCAAGAGGGAGGGGTGGGGGTGGGGGGGTGGGGAGAGAGCAGTTTTGTCGGTATTGAGTGAGCACTTTTTCATGCCAAGAGTTTGTTGTTTGGCCATAGCCACATTATTCCTTTTTTTTCCGAGTGCAGGAAATGCTTGCTTCGGGTCACTTGGCCCAAGAGTAGGGCACTGTGTCTTTCGAGTCCCTCCTCCCAGGTGTAGTGAACCGCGACACGACGGCTAGCAGGGGGCGTGGCACCCGTAACAGCGGGTGGGGTGAGGAGGGGCGGGGCGGAGGGTGGGGCGCTGCGGAGCACTTCTATTTCCACTTCATCTAAATTCAACGCTGTGCCCTCGAGAATTTAAATTATTTTCCAGCCATCAGTTTTTGCTGCTGCTCTAGTGGTGAACTAATAAATTGGAACTCCATAATTTAATGTTGGCGTGCCTTCTTCCCTTCTTTTTCTTGGCGTTTTGTTTTCTTGTTGTGCTTCTTCTCCTTATTCTTCTTGCCGTGCGCGTCGGGCAGCACCTCATCGCTTTGTCCCTTTCGAGCACCATCCTATGACTTCATTGGCACCCCGTTGCGGTCACTCGGGCCCCGCGGGCAGCCGCCGTCGCCGGGGGGCTCCAGGTCGGACGAGAGAGAGAGAGAGAGAGAGAGAGAGAGAGAGAAGAGAGAGAG